CCCCCTCACAACAGGATATCAGATTGTTAAGATTGAACATGTTTAATATTTGCAATTTGAAATCAGTGCGACGAGGATGTTAAAAAAACAACAATAAAAAAAACCTCCAAACACAACTCCCACTTCAGGAAAATCTGGCAAGACTGATCAAATAATCTGGGTTTTCCTGAGTGTAGTCAGGACGGAGGAATTGGGCCTAAAAAATGGCTTAATTCTCTTGTAGTGTGTACGAGACATTAGCCTGGAAATAGTCACTGTGTTTTCTGACCTTTTGATTTTCTGAACATACTTCATCAGTGTATCGCCAGCCCATTCTCATTCCCAAGTTGTCAAATATCGCCGTTTTCTGAGTGATTTCAGCATCAGATACCAGCGGCATGATACGCTGTCAGGTGGCGTAGGTTTATACCGCAGCTGGATGGCGTCAGTTTGAAATGCTGCCAGTGACAACGTAATGTAAGGACAGTGAAAGTCCCTATGGGGCAGGCAGGAGGGGGTCAGTCTCCCATATGGTGGATGACCTACTGTACCTCTTGAGCCACAGCCGCACCTAACAAAACATCACATTTTCTAAACTCTTCATATGTTTTCTGCGCAAAAAACTTTGTGGAATTTTACTCCAACCAAAATATCCTCACTTTTGATGTGATGCGATGTCCTAATTAAGCAAAAATGTCCTCACTTTTAGGGACTATGACTTGGTCCTCACAAGGATAGAAGGACAGGAGTACACACACACACACATACACACACACACACACACACACACACACACACATACACAGAGGTAGTATCATCCTCTCCACGTGCTCCCAGTTTCAACACGTGTCGTCTCAGCAGGTTGATTGACAGGTGAGGAGGCGGCCAGGTGACCTTTGTTTGTGTGAGAGACAGCAGAGCATTAATAAGTCAGAGTGCAAGTAAACACACCATGATGGAGAGAGGATAGGGAGACAGACAGGTCTGACCCTGAACGCCTCATCGCTCAGCAGGACACAAGCAGCTGATTAACAAAATAAAATGATGACTTAAATATGAAGTAAAAGAAATGGATTACAAGTGAAACAATGTACATTACCTTATCTAATTATTACTTTAAGTCTACTTACTTCATAATACAATTAAAATATGTAAAATATATCATTCAGAATTTGAGGACAGCATAAGGAACTAATGTATTAACTGGACAATTCAATGATCTCTATTATTATTTCAACATATTTTTATGTTTACATTTATTATTTGATATATTATTATTAGTGCATAGATCAGTTTTCCAATTTTGTTTATATATACTTTACTGTGTGCATTGTTTAAATGCAAGTCTAATTAAATAATCTGTAATGGCGATTGATATAATTAATATGATAAACACAGTTAAAGTCCGTCCAGACTGCATATATTTGACTCATTTTTCTGATAACCAGAAATATATATTTTTTAAAAACCATTCTATAAATGGATGTGAACATGTTTTGAAAGTGCAGATATATAATATGACATAAGATATATTATAAGTGTTATTAAAAGTACATTTCTGTATCATTACAGACTCTGCAGCTTCAGTTTCTGTAGAAACTCTGAATAATTTATTCCTTTATGGGAGAAACAAACACAGTAATGAGAGCAGGATGTAAAGAGCAGCAGATTGCAATGCTGCTTCACAGCAACGTCTTCAGTTCAGAAATACAAACAAAAATAGATGTTGACTGTTGTATTACTGCAATAATTCATGTTGTCATGGCTGCTCACCAACAGTTTCCTTCAACAACAGACTGTTTACACAAATATTTTTTTTTTATAAACGAGGATTAAATCTGACAAAACACTTCTGTTAAATCCAGACGTGTTGGGTTCATGATGGAAGCAGCAGGACGACAGAGGCTGGATTAGTACAAGTTTATAAGAGTGACATAAAGCTGGTTTGTGTATTTACACAGAGCTCCTGAGGATGTTTTTTAAATGCGTGCCTTTAGATAAGAACAAACGCACCAGAGATGTGCACAGAGGCCAGTATTTACATTTCTGTATTCGTTGAAGCGAAAAAAATATTTGCATTTGTATCATCGATGCAACAATCCTGTTTTTATCACACCTTTAGGGTATTGATGTGTTAATATAAAAGTTCCTCAATTGTATTGTAATTATGAACACTTGAATCTAATATTGGTTCATGGCAGAGGTGTCAAACTCATTTTGGTTCACTGGCCACAAAAGCCCTGTTTACACCAAACCCTTTCAGTCCAGCACCTGTGGAACCAGCAGTAAGCCTTCAGACATGGTACCTAGACCCTCGGTGTGTTCAGACAGTCCTCTTAAATGTGGGCGGGGTTGTTGTCACTCACTGCTCCGTCCAGCACTTGCTGTATTTCCTCATCAGCTGTGACACAGATGGAAGTCTGCACCTGGTTTATCGTCCACAGAACGAGGCTGCACGCCCACATTTTCACAACAAAATAGAACAGGCTGCAGTGAGAGTCTCTCTCCATGGGATATTTAAAAATAGCAGCTTTGTGCATTTAGTCCTTCTCAGGCAAGCTCAGGGGTTTAGTGTTGCTGTAGCCCACAGGAAGTGAGGATTAGAATATATGACCTTCACATAATCCGCTCCAAATTAATCTATATTTTTAAAGTCATTACTAAAAGTGTGTGTGATATAAAAACTAAAGTGATGGTCAAAGTTGTCACAGTGAAATTTAAGGTGTGCTGATGTGTTACAACCCAGCTCGCAGGGGAAAGGGAAGCAACACAAAAACCCAGATGTTAAAAGGTAAGGCGGTTTATTGCAACTCAAATGAAGGAAGTCTGGTTAACAAAAAACTGAGAACAAACCAAGGAAGAGGGCCGGTGGGTGCTGTTTAACTCAAAAAACAAATAACAAAAGGAGGACTCACTCAGAGTTTAATCTACAATCTGTCTAATCAAAAATAAAAGGGAAAACAAACTCTGACTGTCTAGTGCAGCTTTTAAAACAAACAACAACAAAACAGCACTCCTGCACCTAGTGTCTCTATACAGGTAATTGTCTAAGTGTGGATGGAAATGTTTGGAATCAGCCAAAAGGATAGCAATTTCTAACAACCTGGCCACACTTCAAGAGTTCACAAAAATCTACAAAAGCTTATGACAAGCTACAAATGCTATCAGTGGGCTAACCAACACAACACAAAGTTATCACGCAAAGAGGTGAACTGCCACCAACAGTCAGCCGCCAGACTGACAGACTGGCAGGGCACTTATAGATGACGGTCTTGATTGAATGGCTGGGATTGGTCCACTGCACCTGTGCCGCACCAATTAGGGACCCAGGTGAGCTGTGGACTGTGCAGTCAGAAGCAGCAGAGGCTGCACCAATCAGAACAGAGGAGGTGGAGCTTCTGAGTCCAGTGGAGGTGCAGGCAGCTCAGCACACAGAGGGAAAAATTAGTGTTACACACACACACACACACAATGAATGTGGAAAGAGCGCGGCCGTAACATGATGGATTCACGTCATCAACTCATGCATTGAGTAACATTACAAGTTAACGTTCCACCTTAAAAGTTGCCGGCAGTCGGCCCAGTGAATTAAGTTATTTTTTCTCTTTCATTTTATAGTTGTAGTTTACTGATGTATGAACAGAGGTTACATAAAACCAGAGTGACTGTCCTCTACTGACCAATCAGACTGCAGTGTTCACAGCTCCACCTTTTAGTACCAGATCTGTGTGCTAGGTACCCCAACAGAGGGGGGACCAAACATGGGGACGCTAAGGAACGCTTCTGTTGGTACCATCCACAACTTTTACTGTGGAGACAGAAAAAATGTGTACAGAACTGAAGTGAATCATACTGCTCGGTGGAAACTGGGCTAAACACGATCGCAGGTGGGCCAGACCAGTAAAACCACTGCACAGTATCCTAAAAATCACAAACACCTCCAATTTACTTTTTTTTTTTTTTGCAGTTTCAACAATATTTCTCAGTTGTTCCACATTCAGTCAGTCGACTTCTCGCTGTGGTTACATGAGCATTTGTCTGTACATTTCCACTCCTGTGTCGTCATCCTGACATCACCACACCAAAATAAAGTGAAAGAAAAGAACTGTACTCTGGTCGGGGCTGATTAAGTAGAAAAATGTTCCGTTTTTTAATGTTTTCAAGAAAATAATTATCAGATTATTGGACAATGATAAATGCTTATTAGTTGCAGCCCCAGTGAGAACATTCTTTTGGGTTGCCAGGTTGTGAAAATCTCTTTGGCTCATTTTTAAACTGTCTATTTGATTATCCTCCTGAGACCCCGTGTACTTGTATAAGGACATCACATCTGGGTTTACTAGACTTTATACTTCATCCTACTTAAGTTAGACCTGCTGTCCTTTTTCGTGGACACTTCTTTGTGCCATCTAGTGGTAGTAAGAGCACAATACACTAATCCATGTAAGAACAAGATGGCAGCCATCTCTGCCAAGTCAGTCTGCAGCCGATCACGACACAAAAGAGGACAAGGTCCAAAACCTGATCACATGTTATGGATGAAACTTGTTTATTTATGATTAATAATGTTTGTAGTTTGTCACACAGATTTGACCAAATTTTGCAACAGTAACAAGATAAGACACTGTTAATTAGAAAGTGTCTCATCTGAAGAGGCCAGGACTTTATTATTGATGACAGTGTTTAGTTTTTTATACTGATCAGGTCCTACTGGTCCCAAATAGCCATCAAGTCTGTAGTTATAAATGTTAATAAGTCAATAATTAAAACAATCCTACATGTCTGGAAACATTCACAACCTGGCAACACAAAACTTGTGCTTATTTAGAAAATGATGCACTAATTAATTAAAACTCAGAACACCCACATAGAAAGATCTATCTCTCTCTCTCTCTCTCACACACACACACACACACACACACACACCGGGGTGTTCCTCCCAGTGACCCTCAGATTCTTGTTTTCCGCCCCTGCTGCACCGCATCGGTCCCGGTGTTCAGTTGGATTTGACACGCGTTATTGTAACCGCTGTGACGTCAGTCCGTGATTAGACAGAGGGGGAGAGAGAGTCGGTGTGGACGCTGCAGATCGCGGCAGATCTTCAGACCCGGAGGCAGCAGCTGCATCTCCTCTTCCTCCCTCTCCTCTTTCTCCTTCACCACCGGACAGCCAGACATCGACTAGCCGGTCCGCGGGGCGACATACCCGGCGGGGACACGTGCAACATGCCCGCTGAGCAGCTCCACCCGGGCCCGGTGTCGGTTTTTCCACTTCTGGGAGGATTTACGCGGACGAGCGGACAGAGACTCCCGGTGGATGCGAGGCGCAGAGAGCTGTAAGTTGGAGGCGGAAAACTGGAAAACTTCCCAGCCGGAGCAGATTTTGTTTTGATGAACATGCTGTGGTGGAGGGGATCCCCCCGGGCATCTGCTGCTGCCGCCGGCCGCCGCTGCGCACCGTGACGCGCCGGGGAGCGCGGCGAGGACCCCGGCAGTTTCACCCGGAGGGTCCGGGGAGGGAAAAGAAAAACCTCACTGCTGCTTAAACAGATCTCCTCCACTGTGGATTTGTCACTTCAGGCTCGTGCGTGGTTTTATATGCCGGAGATGCCACCTGTCTCTGGTCTCCGTCCTGCTCTGGGTCGGACCGGGATGGATGTGGCGCAGTGAGGAGGCACCAGCCTGCGGATAATCACAGTTTGGACTTTTTGGCTCCCCGTGCGGCTCGCGGCTCTCCCTCATGCAGCTCCTCCGGCTGGCCTGGGCTCTGACTGCCGCTGCGGTCTGCTTCCTGCTCCTCCTGCTCCTCCACAACCAGATCCTGAGAGAAGGTAGGGCTCTGTAGTCCGGTCACAGACTTCGTGTGTTTGTGGGTGTGTGTGTGTGTGTGTGTGTGTGTGTGTGTGTGAGGTCAAACTGAGTGTCCAGAATGCTACAACAGGTCACAGGGAAGATGTTATTAAGATCCGTGTTTTTATTCAGATGATTTTGGTGCTCTGACGACAGACTGGGTTAAAATCTACACGTGTGCACGCACTCGTGTGTGTTTTTCGCACCTGTCATCCCGTGTGCGTGTGCAGCAGCGGGTGACATGCTGGTAAAAGGCGGGAGATGGAGAACAGATAACAGCAGGAGCAGCAGCAAAAGCAGCAGCACGAGTACCGGGGTTTGGACGGGGCCGGGCCGGGCCACGCTGTGTGGCCGGGCTGTGGCGCTCAGGAGGCGGACTGGGCTCCCGCAAAGGTCCACTGTTTTTTACTGGAAGATTCCAGAAAGATTAGAGACAAATGATGGAGAGAGGAAACGCAGTGAACACACACACACACACACACACACAGTCTCACTTATACTCAAAGTATAATGTGTTGCAGAGAGAAATTTGACACATGATGCATGAAACAGATAAATTAAAAATTAAAGGGGGGCTGCAACAAATGATCATCTTTACTAGATTAGATTGATTAATTCACTTAATCAATATTTTCATGTCAGACAGTAGAGAAAAATTGCCCAAAGTCATCAAACATCTTGTTTTTTTAAATTAGTACATAAAACAGATAAAATCAGCAAGACTTGAGAGAATAAAAATTTAAAACAATAAATCAATTTTCAAAATAGTTGCTGATTCATTTTCTGTCAGCTGATTAATCAGTAACTAATTGTTTCAGCTCTAAAAGGCCGAACCGTCTCTGCAACACCTCACAGAATGAGTGAGCTGATAATTAGTGAACACCTGCTTTGATTTCCTGCCACACACTAACCTCGTCCTCTCATTTCACCTCCCTCCCCTCCCTCTCTCCATCCCCCACCATCACCTGAATAATCCTCCACCCACCTGCACACCTGTTCCCACTTCCCCCATCAGCCCTGCAGTATAAATACACCAGCCCAGTCCCGGCCCACTCTTTGCCAGATTGTCTATTGTGCTTCCGCCTTCCTGCCATCTGTTCTGCCCGTCTGACTTTGCCCGCTCGCCCACCAGACTCTTTGCCCCTCGGCAGCATGAACCCTTCTGGATATTTATTTATTTATTTTTTGCCAGTAGTGGAGGAAGTCTTCAGATTCTTTATTTAAAGATGGAGGCACTGATTCTGGAGACAGATTGTTGATAATGTGGAGTTTAACCTGTTAGCTTGTAGCAGATTCATCGTCCCTCACGCTTACACTGCCTTTCTCTGTGCACGTCCCCTGTCCTGTGCACGAGCAAGGATGCCCCTGGTTGCTGATTGGCTGGAATAGTGTCGTGTGGCTCGGTCTGAGCGTCTTAGTTTCCAGTTTCCAGAGCAAGAGCTGTGTGCTTCACAGTAAGATCAACATACCCAGATTATCTTTTCACTATCCACCTCCATTAAAGGCTCTGGCACAAGAAGCTGATGGTCGGCTGTTGGTCAGTGTCGAGGTGTTGGTGAGAGTCTGAGTTTTGGCCGTGTGTCCTGCACCGTTGGCACAAGTTGGCAGAGTCAGCATGTTGAATTTGTTGGAGCCAGTGGAGCCCGTCAGTGCAACACATTCTCACTCCGACCTCGTCACATATTGACGTTTATTGACTTTCCACGTCCACATACGACGTCCAAGGTACCCTGGGTGTGTTGGTTGTTTACGCTCTGGGACGCCGTGTCAACTTCAGCCTGTTACATGCATTGTCTGTTTTCAAAATACACTTCTGTTTTCACAGGAAATTTAACGTTTACATGCAGTCTCTTTCAAAATAAAAGCACTACATCGGTACAACACCGCAAATTAACGTTTTCTTTTTCCTTCAACAACACACACACTGTTAGGTTTAGGAAAAAAGAACAGAGTTTGAAAGTCTGCGTTTGTTGGACCCATCCACCACCCCTCCCGCCTGCCCCACTCAGACTTTCGCTGGCTTAACTTTCGTCCGTGTCCCGCCACGTTTCCCCCGATCCTGCCAGGCACCCTTAAACTATAACAGCAACCGGCTCGTAAAAGGACGCCTTTTTTCGTTGGTTTCTGATGCTGCAAGTCACTGCCCAAGTGCCAGATTTCGACAACTTTGGAGTGAGACTGGGCCTGTCTGTGAGTGAAATCACTGTGACTGGCAGTTCAGCTCAGCGCATGAGGAGAGAAACGGAGGTGAGGAAAGTAAACAAACGACTAAAGTCCAGAGGGCGTGGGATCGAAGGAAACTTGTTATATGAGGTAAGACTATTTTGCTAGCCACTGAGCTCTTTATCTTGTAATTGTTTGTTGTTACAGTTCGCTAGTTCACAGAAAATACCCTTTGTTTTTTCAGCATTGAGTTGTGTTGTTAATGTGCTAACTGGCTAACTAGCGTCCTGAATCCGTCCTGACAATCTTCAGTTTACCTTTTTGAATGGCAAATTCAGACTTGGGTCGCCTGCTGTGATGGAGAGTTATGTGCTGAACGTACGTGCTGGTTGTCAGTTGCCTGTAGTCTTTATGGTGTGTTCAAGTGCAACTTTTTGGAGCATATGACCAATCACATGGCCACACTGTCGCCTCACAGCAAGAGGGTTCCTGGTTTGAACCCCAGGGTGGGGGAGCCCTACTGTCTCCCTGTGTCAGCGTGGGTTTCCTCCAGGTGCTCCAGCTTCCTCCCACAGTCCAAAGACATGCAGGTTAATTGGTGACTCTAAATTGTCCGTAGGTGTGAATGTGAGTGTGAATGGTTGTCTGTCTCTATGTGTCAGCCCTGTGATAGTCTGGTGACCTGTCCAGGGTGAACCCTGCCTCTCACCCAGTGTCAGCTGTCAGATAGGCTTCACCCCCCCACGACCCACAAGAAAATGACTGAATGAATAAAAATCAATCCAAGTTGTAAGTATTGTTTGAACAAGATAAAGTGGGGGTGTGTTGGTATGCTGGGTGCTGTAACTCTCTCTCTGATGCGCTGTAGTAATATTCATACTGGTTAAAATAAACAATTTGATTGTATTTCCTGATCTTTGCTGAGCAACAGTTTTGTGTGAAAGGAATTAAAGGCCTGTCCCAAATATAGGCCTGTTGATTTCACTGATTTAAGCAAATAATAGCCCGGGCTATTAATTGAAGATTTACAGTATACTAATCTGAAGAGTACTCATTACTTAATGAATATAATCTACAGCAGACGTCCACCAGAGGTCTGTACTACGAAGCCACTTCAACTTACCAGGGATATGTTTTCCATTGTCACATTGGCCGTCTGATAACTGGTACTACAAAGCTGGTTATCAACTAGTTCAGCCAACTCTGGGTTTTCATATCCAGCCATGAGCACATTCATGTGAGAGAGGCGGGGCTGTTATTTACGAGCAGCATCATCAGAACCATGAATGAAGTAGGCTGCTTCATATGATATGAGATGAAACATTACCGAAAGTGTCTGTGACTATGAGACAGTAAAATGTCAGTGGTGTGGGATGTAAACGATGCTCTGTGATCTTGTAACAGGAATGTAGAAACATTGAAACAGTTTCCACAAAATTACTTAACTTACGCGCAGGTATCACTGAGAGTATTTTTTGCTGTTTAGTTGGATGATGATGAAACTCCTCTGAATATGTCACATAAACACTTTAAAGTAACACCAGACTGTTTGTGCTGCTGAAGTAAAGAGTGGAAAAGTAATGACTGATGAGGCATTTATAATAACTGGAGCCAATTAACAGTGTGTGGATTATTTTACTAATAAAATAACATATTTTATGCTAGTTCTCATCACACAGACACAGTCACACGTCACACATCTCATTCATGTTATTTTGAGCTGCGGTGATGAAATCAGAGTGTAAAATGTCAACACTCACTGTGGATTAAATAAACTCTGCACAAGTTAAAATCCTGCTAAAACCATGTGTTCAGTGTGTGAACGATCTCTGTGTTTGTTCGTGCTCTGATTTAAACCAGTTGAAACAAACCCCCTGAAACAATGAAATGATTCTGCTGACCTGTAACAGCACATAGTCTCCTCTTTTTTACATGTCACTCCGGACTTTCATTCACAGATACTTTTGTCTTCAGTGATCTGATTGGTCAGAGGTCGGGGTGTTGACAGGCTGTGATGTGATACTCTAACATAACCTGCTCCGGAGCCGGTTATCTGTTCAGCATCAGTTACCACGGTGATGTATCCCAGTAAAAAGAGACTCAGCTAACAGAGTTAACCCTCACCAACTCCAAATCCCGCTCCGGGCTACAGGCCTCGGATCAACATGAAGCTTTGTTTTGGTCCAGTTGAGTATCGGAGCCTCATTAACAGAATCAATGTAAAACTGCTCGGTGATCCAGGCTCAATAGAATCAAACCAAACAGCCTCAGCTTCCCTCCTCGGCAGCGGTAATGATCCTGTGTGATGGTATTTAGGTAGTTAGAGCTGGTTTGTGCAGCTCGTTATCAGAGGTCTCTGTAATGTTGAATACATCCGTCGGTGAGAGTGTGTGCAGGAGAGCAGCAGAGTTAATAATCCTCTAACACTTTAAAATGTAAAATGAGGGGACAGTATGGAGTACAAACACTGCATTAAACACACGCTGAGTCAAAGAGTCACACAGAGCACATCACACGGTCATTATTTGTATCTGTTTGTATTCCAGTTTGAACCTTCTGCCTTTGACAGGAAGCAGGGATGTCTCTCAGGCAGCTACGTTCAGTCATCAGGATTAAAGGGGCACTTCACCAATGCCACAAAGGACACTATTACTCTGCGGGTTAGTGTAGCTTTGAGGGAACACTTCACCCAAAAACAACTGGAAGGTTGTAATAGTTGAGGAGAGAGGAACACCTGAAATATGAAAGCATATCAGTGCAAACAGACTTCGACAGAGGCCGAACGAAAGACAGCAAAAAGGTTGTAAAACATCCGAAA